GACAAGTTTCCTGACAAGGATGTCCTTTCTCATGTGTGTCTTTTTGGCACCTTTGCAAGAGCTAGTGGACTGTAACTCCATGGGTTTATCTCTGGGTTCTGCCTTCTGTTTCATTGATATGTGTGTCTCCTTTTGTGCCAGTGCAGTGGTGTTTTGGTTACTGTGACTCTGTAGTGTGACTTGGAATCAATATAATGACGCCTCTAGCTTTGCTCAAGATTGCATTCTCTGCTGGGCCTTTGTGCTTCCACATACAGTTTAGAATCTTTTTCTAATTCTTGGAAGAATGTCTTTGGGATTTTGATGGAAAGTTTGCCAATGAATTTGAGTAGAATGGATATCTTAGCTATATTAAATTGTTTAATACTTAATGTTTTAATTTTTTTCTTCAGTGCATTCAAGTTTCATAGTAGTTTTGATTCTTTAATTAAGTTTTATTCCTTGGTATTGTTTGTTGTGTGGTAGTATTCTTATTTGGTTATTCTTAATTTTGGTTATTTTACAATTTAAATTAAAATACCTTCCTTAGAATTTTTAAATAAGTTTAGCAGTCTTTGATAGCCATTTAGAAGGCATGGTTTTCAGAATACAAAAGGTAAAGCTGTTGTTAATTGTGTTGTTTTCTTTTTTCTTATTTTCAAGACAGAACCTTGCTATGTAGCCCAAGCTGTCTTCAAACTCTTGATCCCTCCAGCACATGGGATATTGGCATGTGCTACCAGGCCAACTAAACCTTGGCTAGTTTCAGTCCTGTAGTTGACCTGAATGCATTGGTGTTCATGTCAAAGTACCTACTAGGAGAATCACTTGTGTTCTTCATCTCATGTGTCGTGTGAGGTTTGTTTTGTGAGGAAAAGTCAGGTTCTTTTTAAGTATCAAAAGAATGTGCTTGTGCTGTAAAATATAGGCCAAACCTTTATTTTCATTATCTAGACTTATCAAGAACTAAAACTAACCACTTGGCTCAGCCTCAGTCCTGAGTTCATGAGCTATGTTCTCTCCACAGGTTCAGTTTAACTTGCAGCTTACAAAACCAAGCTCATCGCTAGATGCGCAGCCAGGAACAGCTGTTAGCAGGCCTTGTTCAACTGAGAAAGAAAAGTAAGTACTCACTGAGTTACTCTTACCTGTGAAAAAGTGACTTCTCCTGTATATGGTTTTAAATTATAGGATTTCCTCTTAGATTTTCTTATAAAGACTGTTCTGTAAATATTTGGGTTTGTACATAGAAATCCTTTTTAAAGCTAAGCATAGTGGCACATGCCTTTAATTCCACCACTCAAGTGGCAGAGATGGCCAGATCTCTAGTGCAAGAAAGCTCAGGCGCTGTCTCAGAAGGAGGGCTACAGAGATGGTTAACTGGTGCTCTTCCAGAGGACCTGGGTTTGATTCTCACACCTACTTGGCTGCTCACAACCCTCTGTAACTTCAAAGGAGACATGAAGCCTTCTTCTGGCCTCCAAGGGCACTGCATACATGTGCAAAGATAGAAATGCAGGTGAAACACCCATACACAGAAAAATAAATATACATGCAGACTTTTTTAGATTAATGATATTTTCTTCTGTCATGTGTCACTTACATGCTTTTTTTGTTCTAATAGTATTAATAGTATTTGTTTTGTTTTGTTTTTCCAAGACAGGGTTTCTCTGTGTAGCCTTGGTGCCTGTCCTGGAACTAACTCTTGTAGACTCAAACTCAGAGATCCACCTGTCTTTGCCTCCTAAGTGCTAAGCCTGCACCACTACCTCACGGCTCTAATAGTATGTTTTATTGACTCCAATAAACTCAAGATAACATTCTCAGCATATAAGCTGGTTTCTCCTGTATTTTCTCATCTCTTTCCTGTGTTTGCCATTATATAAAATCTTATGGTACTCACAGAATTTTCACTTCTCAAATAGTCCTCATCCCAGTTCTTAGTAGAGTTTAAAGTTTAATCCTTTTTCAGAAGGAATGCATTATAGATATTTTTTATTGGCTTAAAGAACCAATGAAGAGTACGCAGGCTGTGTCCTTTATTCAAAACATTTGAGGTCAGTGGTACTTTAGGCTTTTGAGGCATTAGAATTTTGGAATATTTGGAATACATACTTAGATGTGATCTAAGCCTGAAAGAAAAGATTGATGTTTCTCCTCTACACAGCCCACAGGTATATTATATGTTGTTTTGTCTTCGGTGCACCTGTTTCAACTGAGCCATCTGTCAAATGGTCAACAGATGTTGGGGTTGACAACTTGTGGCATCATGTGGGTCATCAAAAAATCTTGTACTATGGTATTTGAGCATACTGAATTTTTCGACTAGGGACATTCAACACACACACACACATAGAAAATGAACATTAAAATGACTTAAAGATTTTTTTTTTTTTTTAAAGTAGTGAAAATTTAGGACTGGAATCCAAATACTTGAAGAAAAGAGAAGCTAGCATTCCTTTACGTGGACTCAGCCAGAATCTGTTTAGTACTTCAGGTGAGGAGATGTCTGTGCTGGGCACACATGGTACAATTTAACTAAATGTGTCTTAAGACTGAATTAGTAACAGGTTGTGTGTTTTGTCCTCTTTTGCAGACCATCAGAAAGATGGCATAATGGGAGCATTACAGACATCTTCCAAACCCACAGTTCTCCCCTCTTCATCTTCAGCATATTTTCCTGGACAATTACCAAATAGTTAATCCAACACCTTTCATTTCTTACTGACAGTTTAGACAACAAAACCAATTTTTCTTGTTCCTGTTAGATCACCTGAATCCTGTGTAATACTGTTACCATTTACAAACTTAGGAGATTGTCGAAGATTCTGAGTAAATGGTATTTTTTATTCTGTAAACAGAATGTTTCTAAAAATATCACTGAATTTTATCAGATTCTTACCACTTGGTCTGAATAAGAAACAGCCTAAAGAAAAATGTGCCCTACAAGGGAATAGTAACTAGAAAGCTTGTGATTCATGCTATCACGTTTACTAGTATAGCAATTATTAATTTGCCACCTGAGAATTGGGAGAAATAGCTTCCATCTGTGATTATTGATCTTTACACCAAAGTCCTTATACTTTTAAAGTTTGTTGTTTTGGGTTTGTTTTTTTTTGGAGACAGGGTTTTTCTCTGTACCCTGGAATTTGCCTGTACTGTAGACAAGCTGGGCCTTGAACTCAAGAGATCCACCTGCCTCTCCCAGATGCCTGGCTCATACAATATAGTTGGACTTATTCTTTCCCCTTCCATCTCTTTCCAGATGGTCTACACCCTCCCTACCCACCCAATTTCATGTATTTTCTCCCTCAAAAAGAAACACAAATAACCAAACAAAAATACCAAACCACAACAGTGGAGCCCAAGTACTCCTGGTTATGGACTCTACCCTGGAGTTTGGTTGATATACCTACCCAGTGACATTCTTAAGCACTTTAAATCGCTGAAATGAATTAAGTATTCATAGTAAATTCTTTTCCCTGAAACATTTCATCTATGAAGTAATTTTATGTATTTTTATGTAAAAATAATTTGGACATTGTATTCACATGGCTAAATTGTTTTAGTCAGTCATCTGGGCTGACTTTAGAGTACAAAATTCCTTCAGTATAATGGCATCATGAATATTCACAGTATTTTTATAAAACCAAAATTTGCACTGTTGATAACAGAAGAAAATTAACTACTGAAATTTACAATTTACTTTCTCACTACTAAATCTACTAAGAAGTATTCCTTGGAAATTAAGTAGTTTGCAAACAAAACAAAACAAAACAAAAAAAACCAAAAAGCAACAGCATGGTTCAGTAGTTAAGACCTTTAATGCTCTTGGAGAGGGAGAGAACCTTTCCTTGGCACACACTGCACTCATGTGCAAATAAATACCCGTGTATGAATGGCCATACAAAACACAAATCTTTAACCTTAAGGTTCCATTGTGTTCTTACTGACAACTACCCAAAGGACATTAAAATCCTACTAAGACCCCAAATCTTACTTGTAAAATGCTAACAATCATGTGATAGTTTTAAAAGGTCTCAAGGGGCTGAAGAAACGGGATCAGTGGTTGATGGCTGTTCTTCCAGGACTGGGAGTTCTATTCCCATTGCCCACATGGCAGCTCACAATTGTCTGTAACTAGAGATCCAAGAGACCTGTTTCCCTCTCTGCTCTCTTGAGTGCATTAGGCACGCAGGCAAAACATTCATAAACATTAAAAAGCATTTTCCCCCAAGTACTTTACACAGCTGAAGACACTTCAAGGTAGTGATGTGTCAACTTTACCAGGACCACAGGAAGACAGGGATTTTTAATCTCACTTTCAAGATGCTGGCAACTGCCAGCTATCTTCAATAAAGGGTATAATTCAAAATCCAGTGATGATTAAGAATATTGTTACTTGAAAGCACTTAATTCTGGAAAGAAAGAAATGTCTTGGCAATGCAGGACTGTTGTAAATACTGTGTAATATACATAAGGGGTTGGCAGGTTTTGGAAGGGATATATGACATGTAGCTTTTTTGATTCCCACCCTTACTATTTATAAACACACATTTCCAAGATAGGACAGCACATTTCACAGCGGCTAAGTGTACATGCACATAGACTGCGCTAATTCTTTGCTCTACCTCTTCAACTTTTCAGATTGTTTTGTGGTGTATAACTGTACATGTGTTAATAATGAAAATGTTGCTGTTAATGATGTTTCTAAGAACTGTGACCTTTGTTAATAAAGTACAAACTTCAGAGTTCTGTATGCCAGAAGCATGTGTAGAAAATTAAAGACTGTCTGTCTCGTATTGCCTGTGCTTATGAAATCCAAGTATTTCCAGTTGATTTGCAAACACTGCATTTTTGACTTCAGGGGTTTTTTGGTGAGGTGAGGGCAAACAAATGAACTACAGAGGAGGTAAGTTAAGGTAAGATTTCTTTCTGTAAAAATGCTTATGGTAACAAATAAAAGCCCAAACAGGCCTTACAGGGACTCACAGATCAAGACTTTTTTAAAAAGAAAAAAATCATTAAAATATTTAATTTTATTAACAGAATATTTACATATTGAGACCTTAATCATAGTGAATGCTCCAAGTTTAAAAAGCATTAGGCAGTAACCACACACAAGATGAAAACAGTGTAAACTATACAATACTTTATGTACAATTTTTACAAAGTAACACTTTTTTAAATAATATAACTGGACACAAAAATATACACTTTAGAGAAATTCACATCAGTAATTGTATAAAGCTCTCTTCTAGGGTCCTGAAAATTTAGGACAAACATTAGCTCTGTAAATAAAGTGTTACTGTGACAGTCCTGAAAGGCCACTATATATATTTATCTACATATAGATATCACATTGACATTTTCAAGGCTACCAGCTTTACTATATAATTTTTAGATTATGTATTCAAGTGTTGAGGTCCTTATGATTATGCAAACATCAAAAGAATAGTGGTATAAGAAGCAGAACATAGATGTATAGGCTCTCTGACCATCCCAATTTCAATTCTAAGTGGCTGATATTTTCTTACTTCAAAAACAGTAGTGAATAATGTTTTAAATAAAATTATGGCAAACAGGCTTGGAACATGATTCTGTTTTTCTACAATTTTCACAAGTTTTGTTGTTTAAAATGCAAATAATTCTTTACCATTTCTTTATCCTAGTGCATCTGCATTAAGGCTTTGAATTATTTGACCCAAGATTTTACAATATTACAATCTGACTCAGGCTTTTACAATGTTAAAGCGAACAGGTCCGCAATCATACTACCTACTGTGTCACTGAGTCAGCACGGTAAAAGCTCAACACCTTAAGGAAATGGTAGCAGAGACGTGCTAACAGCGGAGTTACATATATAGCTTTTAATTAAAGATGTATAATAAAACAGTTTAGTGGCAAGAGATTGGTACTAATAAACAAAAGGTTTCTTTTAGAAAGAAATTGTAACATCTTTGGAAAACTGTCCGGTTCTTTCTTTAGTTCCCACGGAGTTCATGCAGATATTTCTTAAGACAATCTTAAAAGTACATTGTAGATGGAAATGGAATGTACATCCAGAACTATAGGTGAAAGCTAAGACCTTGGTGCCGATAGAAAAGTCTTCCTGATTTCAGTCATCACACGTTTGTGTCCTGGAGTAAAGGTTCTTTGGCCTCTCCTGGCGCTTGTGTACTGTGAGGATGGCTGTGACCACCACAGTGTTTTCTCCAACTGCTGGACCTTAAACTTAAATTAGTATGTTCCGGAATAAACAAGGCAACGAGCAGAGCCAGCAGTACCGAACAGGCTCCAAAGAGGAAGGGGGGACCGGGGATGATGGAATTCTGAGGAAGAAACAATAGTTAGGGTTCTTGTACAGATACTCCCCTTTCCCCAAGATTTGCTTATCAACTCTTTCCTTAGGTTTTTTGTTTGTTTGTTTAAGACAGTGTTTCTCTGGCTGTCCTGGTGGCCTCCAACTCAGAGATCCTCCTGTGAGATTAAAGACGTGTGCAACCACCAGCTGGTGCTCAGACTTTTCTCTAAAATTAGTGACTTCAGGGCTGGAGAGATGGCTCAGCCGTTAAAGGCTAGGCTCACACACAACCATAAATATAAAATTAGTGACTTCATTAAAGCAACAGTTATAAAATGCTTCTGGAGAGTCGTGCACACAAAGCTGGCAGAGGGACCCTGGACAACTGTGCATTACTTTGGCCCAGAACCTGCAAACGCGTTTCGTGCACCTCCATCAATCTAGTCCCAAGAGGAAGACAGGAACCTTGGGGTCAAGCAAAGCTACACATATTAACACCTGCAGAATCAATACCTTTTTGTTTCAAAAATACAATATTGCTAACCACAAAAAATATGTAGACAAATTTTTATTTTAACTCCAAATCACGTTCAGTTTGACATAAAACCCTACACTGTCAATTTTTGTTGTATATGACCCACAATTTTTTTTTTTTTAATTTTGGAAATAGGCTTGGCTGCAGGAAACTATGCTAAATCAAGGTAACCGAAGAGCTGTTTGTATTGGCTCAATGGTTCATGTGGCTTCGTGTTAGTAATTTCAGTTATAAAGCGGGAAATAAAGCAAGCACAGCAACAAACATGCATAGCCGACTGCGTCTAGAGATGGGTGACAACTGTGACACTAACTACAGAGTCAGAAGAAAGCAGTAGTATGCAGTGGAGAAATGGCTACCATGCCATCACACACAATGACAAAGTAGGATTTTATATGGTTTTCATTCTTACAGGAAAAAGTATGCACAGACAATTTTGCAAATAAGTACTCAAGAGACGTCTTAAGGACTCTTTTTGTTTTAACAATGTCTGGCTGAATCTAGGGCCTGTTCATGCTAGGCAAGCACTCTATAAGCAGGGCTATACCGCCAATCCATTTGGGGTTTCATTTGACCTCAAAGTAAATTAAGAATTCTAGAATGGGCATCATGGCTCATGTGTAATCTCAATCAGTATTCAGAAGGCTGAGGCAGAAGGATCAGCACGGGCCACACAATGTGTTCCAGCCAGGCTGGAATTATAGTGAGGCTGTGTCAAAAAACCAGAAACAGTTTTATATTAAAGCTTGCTTTTTTTTGTTTTTATGGGGGGTGGGGAAGTGGAGTTTCGAGACAGGGTTTCTTCTCTGTGTTGTAGTCCTGGCTGTCCTGGAACTAGCTCTTGTAGACCAGGCTAGCCTCGAACTCACAGAGATTCACCTGCCTCTGCCTCCCGAGTACTGGGATTAAAGGCATGAGTTGCTACCGCCCGGCTTAAAGCTTGTTTTCAAAATCATCCTTTAGTCCAGCCAAATAAATAGAACATTTTAACATGCAAGTTAAGAATTACCTGTTCAAAGTGGTGCTGAGGGCTTGTGTTCGTCCCCAGGTCTGATCCTGTGATTGGCAGTTCTTTAAGTTCCACATGGAATATGTAGAAAATGAATCCATAAAGGGCTGGTCCCAGACCATTGCACAATCCTCGGATTCCTGTTATCATTCCTTGAACAACACCTACATGTTTAAAGAAATCATTTAGCACATTATCCTACAAATGTGAAATCAATCTAAATTGAGATTGTTAACAGATACTAGCAACTTGCTCTAGGAGTATTAAAAGCTATCAAGAAGCCATAAGTAGTCACCGCCCTGTGTAAGTGCAAAGCCCAGACCTAACAGGGTGAACTCAGGGTGAACTCTGGGTAGCAAAAGCACTAGGTTTTTGGCTTTAAATCATCCAGGCACTCAAGCACATTAAAAACCACCCAACACAGTTTCCTATTCAGTCAAATATATACTATTGAGTTTCACTTCAATTCCTTTAGTTTCATCTTGCCTTTCCTTCCTAAGTGACCATTTTACTAAGTAACCACTGTCACTCTTCTACCCTCTGTTAGGACCCTTTCTGTTAGCATGCCAACAATGTTCCTACCACAGAACCTTTTTATGTTTACTGATATCCTGATAACTGAAGCTACAGAGTTTTAAAGGGTTACAACAAACCCTAATGATGTCCTGTATATGTGTTGCTTTTATTGGTTGGTGAATAAAGCTATTTGGGTCAATAGCTTAGTAGAGTAAAACCAGGCAGGAAATCTGAACAGAGACAGTGGAAAGCACATGGAGTTGAGGAGACACCATGTACCTACCTACTGCCTCATGGCAATGCATAGATGAAAAGAAATGGGTTAAATTTAAGATATATGAGCTAGCTATACACCTAAGCCATTGGCCAAACTTTGTAGTTAATATAGTTTGTGATAATTTGGGTCTGGGTGGCCAAGAAACAAAAGTGCAGTTTCAGTTTACAACCTAAGGTTCCTATCACAATATCAAAATGGCAGTGAAACTTCATTAGTAAATCAGGACATGGGCGCGCACCATCCCTCACAGGCTCATGTACTAAATTTCAGTCCCTATTGGCACTGAATTGGTACTCCCCTATTTGGGGGAGGCCCTCGAACCAGAATGTTGGGGTGAATTTTTGGAAATGTATTTTGTCCCTGGCTTCTTCCTGTCTACTCTTTGTGGGTAGCTTCTATGCCCCTGCTGACATATTTTTCCCTCTGGGCCCACAAACAATGAGACTAAGCAACCATGGACTGAACTCTTTAAAAACTCTATAACCAGAGCTGGAGAGATGGCTCAGAGGCTAAAAGCACTGACTGCTATTCCAGGGTTTAATTCCCAGCATCCACATGTAGCTTACAACAGTCTATAACTCGAGTTCCAGGGTATCCAACTATATCACAGAGACATACATGTAGGCAAAACACCAGTGCATATTTAAAATAGATCATGCTAGGTGATGGTGATGCAACTTGGGAAGTTAGAAGCAGGTGGAGTTTGAGGCCAGCCTGGTCTACAAGAGCTACTTCCAGGACAGGCTCCAAAGTGAAGGAACTCTGTCTCGAAAAAACCAAAATAAACAGATCATAAAAAAACAAAACTCTATAGTCAATATAAACCCTTCAAGCTGTTTCTGTTGGGTATTTTGTCATAATGACACAAACGCCACTCAGTACTGGAAAGACAAGGGACAATAGCCACTGGAAATTAGGACCTCAGAATCTGCTTTACCACAGGCAGCAAAGTTAGAAGACTACTTTGAGTGCCTAGCAACTCACCCTGTTGATCAGCATCAGCAGTTCGTGAAACAAGGGCACTAACAGCTGGAAAGGTAATGCTAGACATGGCTGCGACTGCCCCAGCAGCCCACATCATCCTGTAATCAAAGCGGCAAAACAAAAATTAATACTGCTTCCATTTTACCTGTCAAATCAAACCAAGTCATCCTGACTGTGCAATGGCTGTGGTACAGAAAAGAGAAGTGTGCTTTCTCTGTTCCTCTTAATTGGCTCTGGGCAAGTCATAGCATTGTGTGCTCTGGAAACAGTAACTACTTGTTCACAAAGATGATGTGGTATCTTGTTGTAAAATTGGAACATTCAGTGGGAAGCTGAGAGGCTATTTGAAGATTATACATAAAATTAATAAGAAACATCAAGTGTATTTAAATGTTGAAGCCAGCAATCATCCAAAGTTCTCATGGATTTGTGTTTCGGTTTAAAGATCACTGACTGGATATAATCTCTAAAGTATAAAGAGTAGTAAGCTGGAAATTCTTGGCTTCTTGTTTGAAAGAAATACTTCACATTTGTGGGTCCTCTGCAAAGGCTGGACTGGAAAATACGTCACCCACTAAACACATTTTAGTGTTTACTAATAATACCCAAGCCCAAAGTGGTAGGCAGCCCAACCCGACCAACATCAGCCTGCAAGAAAAGCTAAGTCTGGTGGGGAAGCCAGAATGGAATGAAGAGTGTGTTCACTCTCAACCTGCCAGAGGGGAACACTACAATGCTTTCCCCATAACTGGAAGGACAAAAGAGATAGAAGGCTGTCTTTGTTGCCACAGACTTCTGTGCTGCTTCCCAGTTGTTTTTTTTTTTTTAAACTGATTAAACGAGCCCTTACAGATTCAATAGTTTAATAATCTCATGTAAAAAAACCTGCCACTATTTAGCCAGTCTAGAATACATAAACTTATGTGGGAAACTACTATGCATGCTCTGAAGCACAAGAAACAGGCTGAAGTCAATGGCTTAGCTGGGAAGGAAGAAAAGGGCGGAGCTGGCAAAGTTGTGCACACCTGTAGTTCTCGCCCTTGTGAGGCTTAGGCAGCCTTAGCTTAAAAAGAAAGAAGGAGAAAAAAAAAAAAGGAAACATGTCTCAAAAACCAAAAGCACACAAAAACATCTTTGATGGGGTGTGGCTATGGGTAGGCTTCCCATGCCCTACACCATGCCATGCATGTGTGGATAGTACTAACTGCATTGTGGGCTAAATTCACACACACCGCAAACGAGAGTCTATGCCGTTAGTGATGCACAATTAATAAAAACTCAAGAGGGAGAAATTGGGGTTCAACCTGAAGACCCGAAAAGCAAAGCAGCCAGTTACTGGTTCTTACCTCGACCTCAGTCCGAAATGGTGATCCTGTCTCCAAGGAGTCTCAGAATGAGACTGACTGAGAGCTGTCTGTTCCCATCTTAAAATCCTCTCTAGGGCTGGGATTAAAGGCATGCATCACTGGGATTAAAGTCACACACTGCCCAGTTACTGGGGAAATAGTGTGGCTACTGGGAAAAAGGTGTGTTTCATTGCTGGCCAGTCTATAAGGCTGGCTAGTGTGGCTGTTTTACTTTTCTGATCTTCAGGCAACCTTTACTTATTAAGATACAAGTGAAATGCCACTATAGGTTGGAAGAGGATTGAGAGGCAGGTAGTAAAGGCCTACGGTACTCAAAATACATTATGCAAATAAAAGAACTTTTCAAAGAATATAAAAAAATTGAGAAAATGAACATTACAATATTTATACCTACCAAGGTTCTGAACCAAATCCATACCATGCCAGCTGCAATATTTGAAATCCCAGACCCAATAAGATGGTGTTTTTATTTCCAATTGACCTCATGAGTAAACTCAAGACTATAGTCTAGAAGAAAAACACACATATGATTACCACAAAGTTTGGTTTGTTTTTGCAGTTCTTTCACTATGATGAAGTATCATTTACACCAGTGTGGCTGTTTTCAGCAGTAATTGCCCCAACTAGTTCAGAGCTCAGTACTACAGACTAACACATTCTGAATTAGAGCTACTAGAGCTACAATACTTGAGTCCAGTTTTCTAAGCCCTTAGTATACTTGCAATGAGGACTCCTGATGGAGACGCCCCATTTGTGACAGCATGAATGAAGCCTCAAGGCCAAGTGGTCTGAATGAGAATGGCCCCATCCGATCATCTGTTTTCAATACTTGGTCCTCAGTTGGTGGAACTGTTTGTGAAGTATTAGGCATGACCTTGTTGGAGAAGGTAATGTCACTGGGGGTGGGCTTTGGGATTTCAAAAGTCTACAACCACACTCTGCCTCCTGCATGTAGACCAGATGTAAGCTCTTTCTACTGCTCCACCATCATGCCTGCCTACTGGCTGCCGTATTCCATGCCATGATAATCATCAACTCTAACCCTCTAGAACTGTGAACCCCAGATTAAAACTCTTTCTTCTATAAATTGGCTTGGTCATGGTGTGTTATCACAAAAATACAAAAGTAACTAAGACAGACTGCAATCCAATAGCCCAGTGATGACCCACAATTTCATCTAAAACCTGCTGTTGAAACCATGAAGATTCTATGAAATGTATAAAAGTTTAGTAAGTATGATTTGGGAAAGTTTTAAGAGCACAGACTGGAAAAACCGGCGGACTATGATCTTTGAGACCCTGGATAAGTCTACCTTTGTTTTCTCTTGCCAAGTGGAGCTAATAGCAGCAATTTCAGAATTCAACACTGGATGAAGTGCTGAGAGCGGTCCCTGGCACATAGGAAACATTTAATAAATGGTTTAGTGAGTAGATGGACATTCCTCTATTTCAAATCTAATTGAAATTCAGCATGGATTGGGGCATCAAAAACAATTTTGATATTATAACAAAAGTTGAACACACTACACAAAATAATAAGTCTGTAGAAGTGGTACCAATAATCACTCATTACTTCCTCATACAAATAATTACAAAGTGTAAGTTGGAATTACTTAACATTTTCTGAGGTGTGGTAACAAACGTCAGGCTGTAATCTGAGCCCGAGTCAGGAAGAGAACTGAACTATGTTTGAGGGCGGTCTAGTCTGGAGTTGAGTTCTAGGCTGGCAAGAGTTAAAATGAGTCCTTGCCTCAGAAAAGGTTCCTAGAAGAACTTTTAGATAATAACTCACTACCACCATACCAAGTTCTTGGAGGATCTGAGGACTTAGCTTTCTTTAAGCCTGGTAAAAGTGAAAAGCATCCAGGATCGAGGCCCTGGGTCTGCCCACCCTGTGGGATTAGACTCTTTGCTAGCCAATCCACAAAATTTCCTGAGCAGCAGTCTGCCGGAAGTTCAACTCACTAAACAAACATCTGGGTAAAGCTAGTATTTTTCAACCTAACAACTGTATAAAAACTTCATATTTTATTTCCTCTAGTAAGATTTTGTTATGGTATTTTCTTTTAAAGCAATACATAATGCACGTCCCTATTGTTTATGTATGGACATGGTGGACAGTATTAGTCAATTTACACATTCAAAGAACTGGAAACAAGAATTTCTGCTCTACTTATATACAATGTATGAGAGACAGAATTTAGTTAATCAAAAGAAAACTTTTGAGTATACTCAAGACTATGTTAGGTCTTAGGCAGTTCATATGTCCAGGAATAACAGTCTTGGCTCAGTTCAAGCTGAATTATAAAAGGATTTCTGGTCATAAGATAAATGCCAGCATTGCTCAGAAATTTGTGAGAATGTTTCATCTTCCAGGAGTCATTTCCCTGGCCTCTGGCAGAAGGGACCTATGGTTCAATATCACTGACATGTGCCTGTGGCTGAATATCAAAGCTCATGCTGGCCTCCAGGTTCCCGCAGTCCAGCCCTTCCCTTCCCACCCCCAACTTCTTACCCTCCTTACAACCACTACTTTCTATTCCCTCTCTGGCTATCTCTTGCTATTCCCACTTCCCTAGCCTTGGTCATGTCCACTCTGTTTCTCTTTCTCTGCTCTGGACTCTTCCAGATGCCTTTAGCTGCTCTTATCTACAATAAAAACTGTCCCCCTAATGAAGCAGCTATTTCAGTACTTTACTGCACTCCTTTGCATACACCGTGGCATCCAATTCTTGTGAAGAACGCAAAGTTTAAAGAATTGGAAAAGTGTTCTGAAGACTATCCCCAAACACAGCATTTCCATCTCAAAAGTCCTGCTTCCTCTTAAGGCTCTAGATCAGTGGTTCTCAATCTTCCGAGCGTTGTGACCTTATGTTGTTATGGTTACCCTAACTATAAAATTATTCTCCTTGCTCCTTTGTAACTGTACTTTTGCTCCTGTTATAGATCGTAATGTAATTATCTGCTATACAGGATATCTGATATGTGACCCCCCCCCCATGGGTCACAACCCACATGTTGAGAATCACTGCTCTACAGAGGTTCACAGGGCAGAACATGAACTCTCATCATGCACCCCAGAGGGAAAGCACTGCTAAACACCATTCACCTTGATGATGTTCCTGCAGCCTCAGGTAGGAACACGGGAGGCTGGCAGCACACACAGTTGGCAGGGGGCTGAAGGCAGAGGCATGCACTCTCTGGAATGTGAGGCTAAGGAAGCTGCTTATAAAGTCCTTCACTGTATGCAGGCAACTAGTCATTGTTGATTACAGAATTCATGTTTCTCAATTTAGAAGCCAGGAGGGACCAATAAATCCTAATCCAGGAAAGGGTACAAAAAGAGACCCCCACTCAGCAACAAAACATCTTGCACATTGCGGGCCTGTTTATAGCCTTGCAAGTGGGAACAAAAGGTGAATGTGCTTTCTTAAAGCCGTGAGGAGTCATTCAAGTCAGAAACAAAATCCAGAAACACAGGTCCCCTCCCTTCCTGGGGTCACATCCTGTGTACAACTACCAAGGCTGACTGGCTGCTATGAGAATCTCTCACACAAGACTAAAAGACCCTCCACACCAGCGATCACTGTTTACCTGCGAGCTTACCGAGGGCTTCCTGGAGCCCCTAGGATTTACTTGCTAGCTTCCTTCCCTACCCACACCAGACCTCTACTTTTCTCAAACACAAGTACTCTCACCCTTGGGGCACTATTCCCATCATTCAACCACTTAAAATTCTCTTCCTGCATTTATAGTCTGCATATCGTTGGCCAAATGCCACCTTGTACATCAAGCACTCCCCAAATTCCCGTTACTAATAAAATAAAACCTTTCCAAGTTTCTCTACCACTTCTTCCCTTTCTTTGAAGTTTTTAATCACAACTAATGTTTCATGTGTCATCCTCTAGAATGTAAACTAAACAGCAGGGATCGACTCCACTGTTCTAGCCTGTTGTACTATAGACATCCAATGATTATTTGTGATGAGTGACTTCACAGTTATACATCACTAATGTGTATCCACCCTAAAAACCTCATCAATTACTAGCAACACTAACATATTTTTGAACCTATAGTCCAGAGACCAGCACTTGGGAGGCAGAAGCAGAAGGATCTCTGTGAGTTAGAGGCCAGCCTGGTCTACATAGTGACCCCCAAAAGAGTCAGGATGACATAGAAAGACTCCATCTCCAAAACAAAAAGGTTCATTCCCAACATGCCATCACTGCATGAGGATGGGCTCCCCTCTATGCAATCACTCCCACAGGAACTCACCTGTGCAATAATGGACAGAATGCCGAGGACTGCTATAAAGGCTGCAACACTTTCTGGGGAAAATTTCATTATCTAGAAGGTTTTCAAAACAAGTAAAATGAATGAAAAAGGAGCATAGCAAGCATGTTAGTGTTACTATTTGTACATTAATATTAAATGACTAGAAACATGCTTATTGATGACCTTTAATTCAAATTTTAATTTACTTATTATACATAAAGGACAAAGGATTCTTCAGAAAAATGGCTTTTTATATGTAAAATACATTCTTCTCCTTAACAAATCCCGTTTATTTAGCTATACTTAGCTACCAAGCACCCAAAATCACTTTACAAATAACTGCAACATGAAGCTGTAGGTTTTACCCCCAGTACCAAAGATGGGGAGCAGAAATAGGTACTATGAACAGGAGGTTAAATTCTTGTTGGCCACTACACAGAAAAATTCCATTTCAAAAACTAAAACAAAAAAGAAAAATTCTTGTTGGCTACTTTTTATAAAATTACATTGTATTGGTAGGGTTTTTTTTTGGGGGGGGGGTTGTTTTGTGCTTTTGTTTGTCAATTTGACATAAACTAGAGTCATCCAGGGAGAGAAAACCATAATTGAGAAAATGTCTCCATCAGATTGGTGTCTATGCAACACTGTCTTGATTAATGCCTGATGGGAGGGTCCAGTACACTATAGGTGGCGCCACCATGGGGCAAGGAGGTCCTGGGAGGTATGAGAAAGGTAGCTGAACATGAACTTGAGGAATAAGCCAACAAGCAGCATTCCTGCATGGTCTCTGCTTCAGTTCCTGCCCTGATTTCCTTCAATGATGGACTGTAGCATGGAAGTAGAAGCTAAACAAACACTTTCCTCCCCAAGCTGCTTTTGGCAAGAAGAAAGCAAACTAGGACAAGCATTGGCTTTACAGAGGAGTCCAGCTCCCTGAAAATGAATGCTGTCTTTACAGCACGAAACACGACAAGTCCGCTGCAGTAGGACCTTACCTGTCTGAGGTATAGGAAGAAGCTGGAATACTGGCCTGCCTCCGGTAGGTAGGAGAGGAACACGGTGATACAGATCAGCAGCACTATGGAATCCTGGCCCACCTTTTTTAAAGACTAGAATAGGAGAAACACCAACGTACACTTAAGTCAAAACCTCACTACTAGTTTTGTCTTTACTTCATCCCCACCAAACTAGTCTAAAAAAAAAAAAAATCCCAAAATGTCCAAAAAATAAATCTTCAGCCATGTATGGTGGCTCATGTTTATAATTGCAGAACTCAGGAGACTAATGCAGAATGATCTTAAATAATGGGTAAAACACTGAGAACCTGATTGTAATAAATATATTAATAAACCTTAAGGTGCTTTCTCGAAAAAGCATCAGAAAGAAGGAAGTACTCATAATCCGCCTGAATCAGATATTCATTTCTTTTTTTTTTTGGTTTTTCGAGACAGGGTTTCTCTGTAGCTTTTTGGTGCCTGTCCCTGGCCAGGCTGGCCTCAAACTCCCAGAGATCCGCCTGCCTCTGCCTCCCGAGTGCTGGGATTAAAGGTGTGTGCCACCACCGCCCAGCCAGATATTCATTCTTCTACCAAGGAGAAACTTACTGCAAAGGGGTCAGCCTGTTCCCAGGAAATTGGAGCTCCCCAAGATGCTGGCCGCATCTTCTCAGGCAACGACTCTGGCACAGCCACCAGGATAAAACAGATGTCTAGCAGAGCTATTGCTGTAGCAAGGACCACCACTAAGCTGTCCCCATACACTCGTCCAAGGTAAGCTCCAATTGCAGGACTGGTGACTAAGCTGGCAGCGAACGTTGCTGAAACCTGTAATCAAAAACAGAAAGTGGGGGATCATCTGGAACCCCCTTACAGTACCCATTCACCATCCTCCTTTATAAGCCAGCTGCAGCTGCACACTTCCTGTCCAAGCCTGCAGGAAGATCTTGTCTAAGAAGATGTACTAGCCTCTCAAACGTTTTCTTAAACGCTGGAGCCTTTTTTTGCATGTATATCCACAAATTCATAGGAAAAACAGACCTGCAAACCAACAAGAAACTAAAAGCTCATTTAGCTGAGAAGCAAGGAGCCCAGAGCATTGCACATGCCCCTCCTGTCAGCACTGCTCATCCTCAGCACAGCCTAACATCACCCAGTGCTACAAGGAGATCCAATTCCACTCTGTTCTCTGTCATCAAAATTAAACAGATAATTAAATGTTTATTATGATACACAGTCAAGCACCTGTCAAGAAACTTGTCACCTCTCAACAAACAAAATGTAGTTTATGCCAAACAAAGGAACAGTGCACAGCAACATGGATGGATGGATGGATGGATGGATGGATGGATGGATGGATGGATGAGGTAAACCTTAAGACATGCTAAGGGGAAGATCCTAGACATAAAGACTGTCTTACACTATGCAATTTGTATGGAATGTCTACCAAAGGCAAAAGCACAGAGACAGAGTGTGCAGATTGCTGTCTGGGCTCAGGGTGGAGTGAGGAAAAATGATAAATGGGTCTGAGAGTGTTCCCTGGGTTGATGGGAATACTCTAAAACCAGACAGCAGTGGTGTCTCATTAGGGAGCCAGCACAGCAGGAGCAGAGCTCCAGTACTCCTGTGGGGCAAAGGCACTCTCAAGTGCATATCAGATGAGCTCACACTTGCAAAGCAGTGAACAAAGGCCCAATCAGGGTTCCTTTGTATTTTATCCCTGTCAGTTCTACCAACTTGTGACCATTTCTTTCTGGCAGAATGAGAAAGGACTACAAAGATCACTTTCTCCTTTCTCTAGATTCATATTATTTCTTTTTATTGATTGATTGTTGTTGTTGTTTTGAGACAAGCCCTAGCTTTAATAAAACTAGTTCAGGCTGGCCTTGAACTCACAGAGATCCCTGCCCCTGCCTCCTCCCAAGCACTGGGATTAAAGGCATGCGCCACCACTGCCTACTCTAGATACACATTATCACTATGTCAGTATCATTGCTGGATCATGCCTTTAAAGGTGGGACATTCTTCACTTGACCTTACCCCCAACTAAGAAGTAACTAGACTGCAAAATTCTTTTTGTTGCTTTTTCTTTTCAAAGGGTCTCTCTCTCTCTCTCTCTCTCTCTCTCTCTCTCTCTATATCT